GTGGTTAAGAAGTGAGTGTGTCTTCTCTCTCTTTCCCTGCCACTGGCTGAAACCAAGGATTCCAAGGTCCTAACCATAGGAAAACCAGAGATGCAAGAGGACTGGATCCCTGTATCACCTTGTGGAGGAAAGCTGCCTATTGACCAAGGATATCCATACTGGATGGTTAAGGGAGTAAGAAATTTCTATTACGTTAAGCTAGTGGTTCTCAACTGAGGGCAATTTGCCCCTCCAGGGGACGTTGGGCAATGTCTGGAGACATTTTTCGTGGTCACTGGGATCCGGGGGTAGAGACCAAAGATGCTGCCAAATATCCACTAATGCACAGAATAGACCTACACACAACAAAGAACTATCCAGCCCAAAATGTTAATAGTGCAAAAGTTGAGAAACCCCAGCTTAACCAATACAGGGTGATGTATGGTCACTGTGGCAACAAGAGGTTACTTCTCCCTCTGAAGGTTTCTGATCCACAGAGGATATATGGAATAGAATGTCCCAGAAAAAAATAAATAGGAGGGGTCTGGCCCGGTGGTGTAAGTTCACACACTCTGCTTCAGCAGCCCAGGGCTCATGGGTTCAGATCCCAGGAGTGGACCTACACGCCACTCATCAAGCCATGCTAGGTCAGCATCCCACATATAAAGTAGAGGAAGATGGGCATAAATGTTAGCTCAGGGCCACTCTTCCTCCAGCAAAACGAGGAAGATTAGCAACAGACTTTAGCTCTGAGCCAATCTTCCTCACCAAAAATAAATAAATAAATAAAAATAATTAAAAAAAATGAATAGGAGGGAGGTAAGGACAAAACCTTTCATATTTCTGTCATCTCAAAAAACATGAGGGATAAATAGGCACTGTCCATACTAGGGGCTTACACAAGTATATGGTATATTGCACCAGGCGATACCATGGAGAGTTGGGATGAGAAGTCTTTGTGATAGGAACGTAGACTAATTTGGAGGTCTCAAACGACATGGTTGGAAGGCATGGGGAAGTGGTTTTTTTCTTGGTATCACAGAAAACATCTCTAACCAAGGAGTGGGTTTCTTTTCACCACAAGCTGCCCACTTCCAGAAATATTTAAGCATCGACTAAGTGAGCTCTTGTCAGACATA